GACAATTCCAGGTAGCAAATGCAAGAGACATTTTTTCTTTTTGCAAAGTATTTTGTAATACTGTGCCCGTGGTATATGAGCATTGAACCGGAGTACATCTGCCTCACAAGAAAGCAAGCTTTCCTTTCTGGTGTTTATTCTTTCATCCTGACTTGTCTTAAGCGCTTTATGTGTTCTGAAGCAATTCCACACAGAATCCTCTTTGGACACCTACCGCAGCCCCACAAGGTAGGCAGATAGGCCATTGCTGTCCACATTATGCAGATGTGAAAAGAGAGGCGCAACAATGTTAAAGGACTGGCCCCAGCCAGTCAGTCACTGGGCTGTTAGAGGTCAGCCAGAGTGGACTCTTTCCTCCTCCCACCTCCCCATCCACCCGCGGGGGGAGCAGGATGGAAGGGGGTGTAGGGCCCATGATTATTTTGGATGCCCACCCCTGCCTCTTTGCTTGGAAGTCATACAATTGTGACCACTGCTGTAAACTGGATACATGGATAAAGGGTATGATTTCCAGAAGAGGGAATGTGCCTGCAGCTCTGCCCAGGCCTTGCCAGGATTTCTGGGCACCTGGCTGCTCTCTCTCTTGGTTTCTCGGTGGAGGGTCCCACTGAGTGTAGTGTCACGGCAACTTCTCCCACGACACTGGGTGCCTCTCTGAGCCCCAGCCAGTGTCTGGGCTGTTAGAGGTCAGCCAGAGTGGGCTCTTTCCTTCTCCCACCTCCCCATCCACCTTCCGCTGCCAGGCTCCACCTGCCAGGAGAGCAGGATGGAAGGGGGTGCAGGGCCCGGGAGAGACAGTTAAGTCAAGCTTGGGGCTCTTGCCCTAGAGAAAAACAATGCATGGCGGGCAGTGGCAGATGCCACGGCCCAGCGAGGTCGCCAGCTTTGATCTCCTGATTCTTTAAAGGGGTTTATTGACTATCAGTAAAGAGCAGAGAGGCAGATCTGAGGGCGCTGCTTCCAAAGGCCCTCACTTCTGCTCCTCCCTCCACTCTGGTGTGGATGGCTCAGCCAAACGCCCTCACTTCAAACAGCCTTACCTCTCAGGCACCCAAGCTGACGATGTTAAGTTCCCTCATCCAAGGCCTTGGCCCTTTCTTCAGGGGCTCCTGGTCTGTCGAGGGCTGTGTGGATCAAAGCCCCTTTGATGTTTACTTACTATATTTGTGGATTCTTTCTAACAACTACCTTCAAGAGGCAGGAATGCAGAC